GTCTCACTTCTTCACTTTCTTCAGGTAATAAACAGCCTAATAAATCAACAATTTTGCTTTGTTATCCTTTCAATAGTTCGAGTATTCTGGAATTTGCCTTTTAACTAATTCGTTGAAACATTTTCTCATCAATTATCAATAATTTAATAGAAATGAGGTGTGACAGTGGAAAGTTTTGTTATAATATGAACAATCTCGAATGGACATAAATTAATAAAGTGGCAAAAAGGTAAAGGATTCGAATTAAAGCATAGAAGTGGAAAATGTTTAATAAAACTCGAAGCAAAATTAATCAAATTTCCAGGAAATCAATTTAATAGATAACCATAAAAAATTCGATTTATATGTGGGATTTTTGCTGATTGAAATGTTTCGATAGTTAAAGAAAATATATATTTATACATAAATTCAATAAATATTTATTAATAAAAATAAATTTAATAAATATGTATTTTTGGTTTTATTGCACATAAATTCAGGTTAAATATAAATTATTTATATTTATATATTAAGCATTTGTGAAAAAGATTTCATGTTGATAGTGTGCGATAAATTACATTTCATAATTTAATTTTATTACTTCTATTATGAAATCAAGAATTCATCTTGAAGCCTTACTTGTAATCTTCCTTGTATCCTTGTATTAAGTACAATTTAGATAAGTTAACAAAGTGGATTAGTTATTTAATAAATGAATGAAATTATTTATGATATAAATATGTTTATAAAAATGCGTATACTGTATATAAATATATTTCCTATAAAAAAGTACGACAATAATATATCAAGATTTTTTTCATAATTCTATGAACACATATTGTATAGACTAAAACGTTATGTTAACTTTAATTCAAGTGTGATGATGTATGTATATTTTATTACATTTATGACAATTTTTCAATAATTCAATATATTTTCACAAATGAATTTCTTTTGCATTGGTTCTTAAATAATTAATCAGAATTGATCCAATTAATTTAATGCCTATTACAAACTCTTGACATGAAAGCTACTTATTCCTATTATTAAGAGATATTAATATTTTGTATCTCTGCTTTCCTAAAAATAAATATAAGTAACTAAGTACGTATATATTAATATAAGTATATAAGAGTACATTTTAATATAAATCAAAATAAAGTAAAATCATTTTAAATATCATTCAAGCGCATAATTAAAATATTTTTCTATTAATTTTCATTTGCATTAGGATAAGTCTTGTTTTAATATTTAATATCATTGATTATTTTAACATGATTATACCCACTAATTTTAATAAATATGTATGTTATCTATAAACTGAATGCAGTTATTAATTTTTATAATTCTCGGATCTGCGATAGTCGTTTATTGCTTAATATTGCATTGTGGATTGATATTATTACACATATTATGCTGTGGAAATTTATTACATTACTGTTTCCTTATAAACCTTATGAGGTTATGTCTTATCTACCATCTTACAAATAAATATTGGGAGAGTTTAACTTCTGGGTAAATTGTTTTTGCATTGATTTGGTTATATTGTTATTGATTCAAATATATTTTTTGCTCAAATAAATTTCTATGTAAATGAAATAAAATTGTTTTAAAGATTATCCTGTCTTCTGATATTGAAAATTGTGAATACTCGTAAAATGATTATGTGCATATAGCACAATTTATAAAAGCTTGAAACTTCTGTTTTTAAAATAATAAGATATGTATATGAAAAAAATAAGAATATTATTTTAATCACAAATATGTTTAGAAAAAATTCGAAGGAGGAATATGTTCTTAGCAAATTCATTGCTGATATAGCTTTATAACTTAAAGAGAGAAGTATTCTTCAAATAATATATGTCAAAATTCATAACATCCCGATGATTAGGTTCCGGATTATAGTAATTTTAGAGACCGTAATTTTATACATGTCAAAACAAAGGACTTAAACAATTTCGAGTTTTGACTAAGCATGACTTTTTAATGGAGAAAAATACTGGTGACACCAAATAGTAGCTTTGGAAGTTCTATCCAGATTCTGCACTATTAAAGTTCACTATAATTGACTAATATGCTGAAGTCAAACGTAATGGTACAACCACTGATAATGCAAAATGCAGTTGTTCAGCAAAATAAAAAAAAGTACAACAAAATAATTTTCAAAAAGTAATTCGTTTACAAAAGTAATTCGTTTACAATTTTAC